GTGGTGTGTTTAAGGTAGGGGGAGGGGGGGGTCGGCCAATGGTTTGGGGAGTGTTGAGCGCCCGACACGCATGTTCTCAGGCAGCCACGGGCGCCTGTCCGTGCTACATCAATCCAGCGCATGGCATGGGGGGTGGACTTGCATCTGACATCCCCCCACATCCACTCCCTTGCCTCGCGACATTGCCCTGGCTGCAGATCAAGGAGGTGCACGAGGAGGAGTGGTCCTATATCCCCGTGGGCGGCCCGCTGCCCCTGGCAGACCAGCCCATCACTGCATTTGGGGCGGCGGCCTCCCTGGTGCACCCCGCGACGGGGTACAGCCTGGCCCGCAGCCTGCGGGAGGCCAAGGGCGTCGCGGCCGCCACGGCCGCCGCGCTGGGCTCCGCGGATTCGCAGCGCAGCGTGGCATCTCGGGTGTGGGATGCCCTCTGGTCCCAGGAGCGGCGCAAGCAGGTTGGGTTGGTGGGTCGGTGGCTGAGGTTGTTTTTGGAGGTACATGAGGGTGTTCGAGGGGTGAGGGGCGGCTTCGGCTGTCGTGGGCATGCTCCACTGGCCTGTGGCCCCTCCCCGACTGCCATCCATCAATGCACTTGCCCCTTGATCCAAATACAAACACCTACAGGCCGCGTTCCACATCTTTGGGATGGAGCTGCTGTGCAAGATGGGGGTGGAGCCAACGGCCCAGTTCTTCACCACCTTCTTCAGCCTGCCCACGCGCCAGTGGCGTGGCTTCCTGGGCTCCAGCCTCACCTCCCTCCAGCTCCTCGTCTTTGCCGGGACCACCTTTGTGTTGGCCCCCCTGCCCATCAAGGTGGTGTGCATGGCTGTTTGGACGGGGACCTTTTGGAAGCATGCGGTTGGGGCTGGACATCAAGCCAGTTTCCTGGAGGTTCCCTCGTCCCCCGATGGATCTGCACTTGTCTCGTACAGCCCTTCCAGCACCTCCTCTTCCTCAGCCCCCGAATCGCGGCCCAACCAAACTTGCAGACGCGGCTGGTGCGTCACCTGGTCCAGGACCCGGCGGGGAAGTACCTGCTGCGGGCCTACACCAGGAGCTCCCAGGAGGGGTCTGCGACGGAGGAGGCCCCAGGCGCGGCGACAGCGGCACCCAGGGACAGCCTGCCCGCAGCATGAGGCCTGCCCGTAGCATGCGATATGTCGCGGCATGAATTATGTCGCCCCTGCCCTCCCTGCATGCCCCTCTTCTCGCGTGATGACGACAGCATGTGGCAAGGGTGTGCGGGTGCAAGCATGGGAGGTGGGGCGATGCGCTGCACCCCGGACATGCGGCAATATTGACGAGCAACCGAGGACAATTTGGGGGTGTGAAAGGGGTGGGAAAGGGGTAGGGGGACGTCAATTAGGGGTGTACGCGCACGAGGGGAGGAACGCGACTGTGCGTCGAGCCTCCATCACCGATCAAGAGTCAAGGGGGGAATGAGATGGTAGCACAAGGGGTTTTGCAGGGGAAGGGGTGCGAGCTATAGGGTTGTGGGGAATGACTGAGGGAGGGGTTGGGAGGCGGCACGGGTGGTCGAGCGCCCTCCATTCCGCCGCCGACCAGACTCAAAGGACGCCGTTGAGGACGCGCTGGTAGTAGTCGTACTGCCGAGTCCGCCAGGCGTCCAGGCTGTCGCTGATCAGGCCCAGCACCATCTCCACCAGCGCCGGCTCGGGCAGGGCCAGGGCAAAGCGCTTGCGCAGGCCGCCGACCGCCGCGGCGCGGGACTTGAAGCAGGGACAGGCCGAGGAGCTCATCATCTCCACCAGGAGCAGGATGCGGTCCGCGTGGCGTCGCACCGCCAGGAAGCCCTGGATCATGAGCACTTTGAAGTAGTCGAAGAGCTCCGAGGCCTGGCCAGAGGGACCGGAGTCCATGACCTCCAGCAGCTCCCGCGTCAGCTTGAAGGGCACTGCAGCGCCGCATGGGATGGGGGTTGGGGGGGG